ATATATCCACACACACACATACATACATACATACATACACACAATATACACACACACACACACATACATACATACATACATACACACAGTATACACACACACACACACACACACACATTGGTAATAATTAGACATTAAAAAACTATGGGATTGTTCAATTCAGAATCTTAGAGGGAAGACCCACAGAATTGTAAAACATTGCCATCTTTCTTGTAAGTCACAAAGTTTATGATGGCAACAGAATTCCAGAAATACTTGCAATGATCCCTGTTTGTCTCCAACAGATTGTTTTCTTCAAATCTAATTCTTAGATTTTGTCAGGACATGCATATTGGTTTCTTTGTCCTAAATCATTGTGTGCATACACCAAAATCCTTAAATACTTTGAAGTCTTTGCTCACAAACAGGTAATATTATATAGATAGTTTTACTAACTGCCAACCCCCTTTGACCTTTCTGATATCTATAGGAAAGAACATCCTCCATGTGAGTATCTGTTGTTAAGGCTAATCAGTTTACAGTCAAGTAAGGAACTCATCAGTAGTAGGAGATATATAATTTTAGGTAAATTCTGATTATTCACTATTTTTAAGTCTGTTTTTAAGCAAATTGTGTCTTGAAAGTTTTCATGGCTGATTAATTCTCTGATTAAGTCAGTATTTCTGTCATCATCTCAGGAAGATTGTTTGGTAATTTATTTTTTTTCCCTGTTGAAATTGCACTGAAGTGTTTGGACTACATAAAAGATGGCTCTAAACTTGAATTTATAAATTCTGTAATATAGAAGATAGCCTTTAAGGAAGCCCAGGCTAATCTGGATCCAAATAAATTTAAAACAATAAAGTATTTTCAAAATCTACCACTTTAATCTGTACATGTTCACCTTCATTTTCTAGCAATCTGATCTGGGTCAAATTTGTCAATTTTTCAGCATGTCTGTGTTCTGTGCTAATTTCTGTTATAAATCATGTGGAAATATTTTATGGATTAGATAAATACAGCGTGATGGGAGAGATTTTTTTCTGATTTGATCAATTATTTACTGGTTTGTGCATGTTTACATTTGATTTGAATAATTATTGGATAATATTGCTATTCTAGATATCAGAAAATGATGAAATATATATTATACATTTGAGAAGCGTGGAAGGGGGAGCTGAAATTAATACATCAAGAAATTCTGTTGAGATTATTATTAAAGCGAATGACAGTCCAGTGCGATTCACTCAGAGTGTTTATATGGTACATGAAGAAGATGATATAATAGCAATCACAGTAGTTCGAGGTAAAGATGATGGTGGAAACAGAATTGGACCAGATGAACATCAAGTTTCCATAAGCTACGTCATTGTAACGGGGAACTCTACACTACATGCACAGCTTAACTTAGACTTTCTAAATCTACAGCCAAATGCAACTATTGTTTTTCCACCTCTAGTGCATGAATCTTACATTAAATTCAAAATCATTGATGATGCCATACCAGAAATTGCTGAGACGTTTCATATCATGCTACTTAAAGATACCTTGCAAGGAGATGCCATTTTGAAAAATCCATCAATTGTTCAAGTTACCATTAAGCCCAATGATAAACCATATGGAGTACTATCTGTCAATAGCATCTTGTTTACTCAGACAGTTGTTATCAATGAAGATCAAATGCTGAGGTAATGTATTTTTCATTGTATTGATAATGTCAGGATATATAATTTTGGTTATAACATAGCTAGAGCTTCCAAATTTAGGTAGTTCCTATTTCTTTATAGCTGTGTGGGTAACATTTTGGTCGTTAGGTACCATGTTTATTTTGAGAGGCAATGGTACAGTTAGTGGTGCAACAGTAGAATGGGCAAGGCTTCAAGATATAGCTGCTTTTTCCCAGCAGATGCTACATGAGCACCTCAGAATCATATTTTTCTTTTTGAATCCAGATCTCTGCACAGCCCTTTGAAACAGCTGTTGTATTCCACACCTGTCTACCAGATTGCAATAGGAATGAGAAAAATTCTGTATTGCTTCCATGATTTATTCTTTGTTTTGAGTCAAAGTTAACTGCACAGTTTTGTGTATATAGAAGCACTCTTCCATGTTCTTAAGAAGAGGTGTTTACGAATAGACTTTTCTATTACATTAGCCTTTTTTACCCTCTTACTACAACAGTGTATTTTTAAATCAAGCCAACTGTTTAATGCCCCTCTGCGTGCTGTGCTTTTAATCAATTGTTTGACACAATTGATTTGTTCTGATATTGTATTTTGAACTGAAAGTTGCTCTGAACAGCTTTTAGGGATCAAAAATATGATCGAAATTTTCTTAAGTAATACTTCAATCAAACAATTAAAATGATTTTTAATGAAAGTGGCTTATTCAGAATTTTCTAGTTTTATAGATTTTTAAAATGCTATTCTTACTTTGGACTATTTTTAGACTGACTTTCATGAAAAGGTATGACCATGTTCAAAGAGACACAAAGATGTCACATAAAAAGCAGGAAAAATAGGTAAACTACCCATTTTTTGAATCCGGTCTTTAATATCATTCTGCAAGGAGATTGAAGTCCATGCCAGCCATTTTTATAGCAGGCAGATATTCCATACTCATGCATTATAGTAATGAAAAGCCTCTTTACAAATAATACTATATATATAAGGTTTTAGAAAGAGGACCTTTCCAGAACATCTTAAAACACAGTTAAAATGGGATAGATTGATATTCTCCTTCAGTGTTTGGGTTCAAAGCTATTTAAGACTTTAAAGATTAAAAAAAAAAACAATACTCAAAAACAAGTATTGAATTGGGCCCAGAAGCAAAGCAGTTAGAGGTGTTGAGGGAGGGTGAAATCAAGATACAGTAACTACTGCAACCATGTGATCAAGATAGCAGCTAAACCATGTGACCTACTCCTTTTTAACATTTTGACACTCCCCATTGAATGTCCATCAAAGCAGTACAGCTTTATCAATATAAGTTTAATGAGATTCCATCTGGCTACATCAGCTTCAGTTCAAGAGAAAGTACATTTTCAATGCAATATACTAAATTAGAAGTTTACCAAAGTGTACCTAAATAGGCATGCCTGGGTCAGGGGGTGGCATCAACAGGGAGATAATAAAATATGCATCACAATGTTGCAGTGGAAACCACATGACTTACATACTTGTGTCCAGTGTTAGGATGCAAGCACAAAAGGAGAGATTTCTGTCATGCAGTCATAATGCATAGTTCATCTTTTTGGATCACTACCTTTTTTATTGAATAACCATGCCTATCAGAAGTAGTCATAAGTGAAAAGCTAGAAAATTTTGGGCTGAAATACATACAATGATAGAGAGGATTTTAAAGATTAATATTCAACTGAAACCAGACCTTTTCCTCCTGGGACTGATGGATAAACAGTTAGAAAAAAGCCATGGAACACTGTTTTCATATATGATAACTGCAGCGAGATTATTGTATGCACCAAGATGGAAAGATTTGGCAATACCTACAATGGAGGAATGGTTGGTGAAGATGACAGAACTTGCTGAATGGCTAAACTGACTTGTTTGATTAAAGAGAATATCTACATTTATCAGTGTCTGGAAACCCCTTACGGACTTTTTGTATAAAAAAGAAAAAAATGAACTTATGATTTATGGTTTTGATGATTAGACAGGATAGATTATAGAAAGAAGAGAGCCATGATGTTACCTCAGAAAGAGAAGTTAAAATATAATTGTGAAGAAGATCGGAAGCCACTTCTTTATATCTTTTTTTATATCTTTTTTGTCTATTTTTTTTTCCTTTCCTCTTTTTCTCTTTTTGCACTTTTTGCACTTTTAGTATTTTCTTTTATTTCTCCTTTTCTTTTTTCTTTCTCATTCTACTTTAGTTTGTATTCTTACTATTGTTGTTAAAACTCTTAATGAAAATTTTATTTATAATATAAAATAAAATAAAATTCCCCTCTCACCCATATGGGTGGTATGTGTCTTCCTCAATCTCGGGTCCTCTACCAGAGGCCTGGGAGTTTGAGGGTTCTGCGCAGTAAAGAGAGAGAGAGAGTCATAACTGGAAAAGCAGCTTAGACCTTCAGTGACAAAGATGGGAAGTAGTAAAGCTGTGCAATGCTTTGTAAGGGCGGCTTTGGAACATAGAGAGTGTAAAAACAACACCTAGCTGAGACTCTGCCTTCATGTTCCAACATGTTCCAAAACACCTCTTCCAAATTGAAACTGAAGCATTTTAGAGTCCTAGAATGTTGTCAGTACTGCAGCTTGGTACTAGTCAGTGTTGAATATACTACTTTTATTAATTGTTTATGCATCCTGTAGATATGAAGGCATCACTGTTGTAAGGAACGGTGGAACACACGGAAATATTTCAGTTTCCTGGATTATAACTCGCAATAGTACTGATCCTTCACCTGTGACAGCAGATATCATTCCAGACTCAGGGGTGTTATATTTTGCTCAAGGACAGTTATTGGCATCTCTCCCTCTGAATATTATTGATGATGATGTCCCTGAAGAAGCAGAGCCATATCTGCTTCAAATTCTAGATCATACAATACAAGGAGGGGCAGAAGTGAGTGACCCAGCTGAGGTAAGTCTGCATTTATTCTTTTAAAGAACTGCAAGCATTCAGACATGACATTCAGTGCGTTTGGGCTAAAATAAGGCTTAGAACCTGGTTAAGATGTACCCAAGAATAGCCATGTTAGTTTTATCTTTAAAATGATATTTGCTGGGATAGTATTGCAAGGATTATAAGTTACGGTGTGTTTTCCTCTACTAGAGCAGGTAAGAATTTTAATCTTGAGGAAGGAATGGTTTCTACCATTAGGGAATCCTAAGTTTAGAAGCCTATCAAAAAATGATAGAGGCAGCAGGGAAGAATGGGATAGATGGAATGTTAGATTCTGATGTAAATAGCATAAGAATGCTTAACGCTAAGGTGTATAATAACTGTTTCTCCATATCTGCAAAAATTTGCCTGCCTGCTAAAAAGTTCTGCCTTTTAATTTCATAGTGTTAAGTGTCCTCTTACTCTTTTAGAAAATATCTAAATATCTCTGGCTTGTGAGCAGAACATTTAAGAGCACAGTGATAAAATTATATTCTTATGATTTTTTAAAAATTAATTAATTAATTAATATGGCACATTTATATAACACCCTTCTTGGTGGTATGGTATGGTGGTATGGCAAGCAACACTTGCATGGTGTTGCTATTAGTTGCTCAGTTCTAGCTGGCTGTTGGAGTACGGGAAAACGCTGGGCTTATGTCAGTGTCTCTCATATGCCTTCGTATTAAACTGTGAGCTAATGACAGCCATAATTAGAATAGCAGAAGTTTGAGTTCTTATACTTTATCATGAGATAGATAAAAATATCAGTTCAGTTAGAATCACAGTCTATGGTGAGATAATATTTTATGTATTTATTAAATTTGTCCCCTGCCCATCTCCCCCCAATGGGGGACTCTGGGCGGCTCACAACACATTAAAACAATAAAAAAATAAACAATTAAAACCTATAACAGTACACATTCACAAAAATAAAAGGGAAAAAAATCCAGGAGGCCGATGGTTCAAGGCAACAATGCCAGGCCACTAAGGGACTAGCCAACCCCACAGTTGATGATCCCCCTCCTTGCCCCAGGCCAGATGGCAGAGCCAAGTCTCTGAAAAGCCAGGAGTGAGGGGGCCAATCTCACCTCCAGGGGCAAGATATTCCAAAGTGCGGGGGCTA